CACACACCCACACGCACACACGGACACACACAGACACATACAGACACACAGACACACACGCACACACACAGACACACACACGCACACGGACATACACAGACACACACACATATGCACACACACACACGCACACACACGCACACAGACACACACACACAGACACACACACACACAGACACACACACGCACACAGACACACACACGCACACGGACATACACAGACACACGCACACACACGCACACAGACACCCACATACACACAGACACACACACAGACACACACACGCGAACACAGATACATGCACACAAACACACACACAGACACACACGCACACAGACACACACGCACGCGAACACAGATACACACACAGACACGCACACAGACACATACACAGACACACACGCACGCGAACACAGACACACACAGACACACGCACGCACACAGACACACACAGACACACACACGCATGCACATAGACACACACACAGACACACACACACGAACACAGATACACACACAGACACGCACACAGACACACACACAGACACACACGCACGCGAACACAGACACACACAGACACACGCACGCACACAGACACACACAGACACACACGCACGCGAACACAGACACACGCACGCGCACAGACACACACAGACACACACACGCACGCGAACACAGACACACACACAGACACACACACAGACACACACGCGTGTATGCATTATAATCTTCACCGCCACCGTCATCACATTCATCACCATCTCACTCTTGTCACTCTCGTCACGCCGTCACCCCCCCGTGCCCCCCCGTGCCCCCCCGTGCCCCCCCCCCCCCCCGTGCCCCCCCCCGGTGCCCCCCACCTGAGTAGTCACGCTCCTCTGGGCTCTCTGCGGGGCCCTCGCGCTCCACGGGGAAGAGCAGCGGGCACACGAGGCCCTGGCTGGGCTGCTGGTAGGTGGACACCAACTCCGTGAGGCTCGCAAAGCGAATCGTCTGCACGCCCTGAGACGTCTACGACACCAAAGCCATCCACAACATCATCAACAACATCAACAACAACAAAATCAATCAACTACAACATCAACTACAACATCAACTACAACATCATCAACTACAACATCAACTACAACATCATCAACTACAACATCATCAACTACAACATCAACTACAACATCATTAACAACATCAACTACAACATCATTAACATAATCAACAACATCAACTACAACATCATTAACAACATCAACTACAACATCATCAACTACAACATCAACTACAACATCATTAACATCATTAACAACATCAACTACAACATCATTAACATCATCAACAACATCAACTACAACATCATCAACAACATCAACTACAACATCAACTACAACATCATTAACAACATCAACTACAACATCATTAACATCAACTACAACATCATTAACAACATCCACAACATCATCATCCACATTAACTACAACATCATCATCAACTATAACATCATTAACAAATCCACAACATCATCAATAACATCAACAACAACAAAATCAACTACAACATCAACTACAACATCATTAACAACATCAACTACATCATCATTAACAACATCCACAACATCATCAACTACAACAACATCAACAACTACAACAACAACATCAACTACAACAACTACAACATCAACAATTACATAATTAACAACATCAACTACAACATCAACTACAACATCATTAACATCAACAACATCATCAACTACAACAACATCATTAACAACATCAACTACAACATCATTAACAACATCAACTACAACATCATTAACAACATCAACAACATCAACTACAACATCATTAACAACACCAACTACAACATCATTAACAACATCAACAACATCATCATCAACTACAACATCATTAACATCATCATCAACTACAACATCATTAACAACAACATCAACTACATCATTAACAACATCAACAACATCATCATCATCAACTACAACATCGTTAACAACATCATCAACTACAACATCATTAACATCATCATCAACTACAACATCATTAACAACATCAACAACATCATCATCAACATCAACTACAAAATCATTAACAACATCAACAACATCATCAACTACAACATCAACAAAATCATCAACATCAACTACAACAACATTAACAAAATAAAAAAAACATCAACTACAACATCATTAACAATATCAGCAACAATAACTACACCAACTTCAATAACATCAACATCAACTACAACATCTGCATCATCATCATCATCTAGAACATCATCAACTACATCATCATCAACTACATCATAATCAACACCAGATACAATAACATCAACATCAGTAACAACATCAGTATCATCAACAACCAATACACCAACATGATCAGCATCATCAACAACTACAATAACATTAACTGCATTTACAACATCGAAAACAACTATACCAACTACAATTACATTAACAACATCCTCAACCTGATCAACATCCTCAGCCTGACCAACATCAACAAGTACAAGTACTTCAACTATATTATCATCATCAACTACACCATCTACAATAACATCAACCACATCACAAATATCAACAACATTCACTCCAATAGAACATCAACATCATCATCAACTTCATCAACGCTGATAACATCAACAACAACATTATCAGTGGGGGGTGAGTGGGGGGGTGAGTGGAGGTGAGTGGGGGGTGAGTGGGGGGTGAGTGGAGGTGAGTGGGGGTGAGTGGGGGGTGAGTGGAGGTGAGTGGGGGTGAGTGGGGGGGTTAGTGGAGGGGTGAGTGGGGGTGAGTGGAGGTGAGTGGGGGGGGGGGGGTGAGTGGAGGGGTGAGTGGAGGTGAGTGGGGGTGAGTGGGGGGGTTAGTGGAGGTGAGTGGGGGTGAGTGGGGGGGGGGTTAGTGGGGGTCAGTGGGGGGGGTTAGTGGAGGTGAGTGGGGGGCGGAGGTGAGTGGGGGGGGGGTGAGTGGGGGTGAGTGGGGGTGAGTGGGGGGGTTAGTGGAGGTGAGTGGAGGTGAGTGGGGGGGGGAGTGGGGGGGGTTAGTGGAGGTGAGTGGGGGGGGAGTGGGGGTGAGTGGGGGGGGGTTAGCGGAGGTGAGTGGGGGGGGGGAGTGGGGGGTGAGTGGGGGGTGAGTGAGTGGGGGGTGAGTGGGGGTGAGGGCACACAGGATGTTGAGTGTGACGCTCTCTCTTCCTGGAATGCGAGGAAATCCTAGAGAGCATCTCACTCACCAATACTCACTCACTCACCAATACTCACCAATACTCACTCACTCACCAATACTCACTCACCAATACTCACTCACTCACCAATACTCACCAATACTCACTCACTCACCAATACTCACTCACCAATACTCACTCGCTCACCAATACTCACTCACGAATACTCACTCACCAATACTCACTCACCAATACTCACTCACCAATACTCACTCACTCACCAATACTCACTAATACTCACCAATACTCACTCACCAATACTCACTCACCAATACTCACTCACCAATACTCACTCGCTAATACACTCACTAATACACTCACATCCTCACTAATACACTCACATCCTGACTAATAGAGACTCACATCCTCACTAATAGAGACTCACACCACACTCACATAATCACGAAAACACAATCACACTCACAAAACCCCCGTGTAGCCTTAACAGACTGTCGGGGCAAGTGCTGTTAGCGAGTAGCAGCTATGAAGGCCGGCACGGCACACGAGGGGGTGGGTGGCCAGCACCACGCCCGACCGCCTTTGTCTCCCCAGTGACGATGTTTACACACCGCACTAGGTACTCATTTGAGGCCGAGTCGACCTAGGGAGGTCCAGGACCGGTTCAGATAATCGTCACCGCTGTTGGCCGTGAGCGGGAATCGAACCCGGGTCGCCAGGTTCATAGCGCAGCTATATGGGGGATCTTTAGCTTTGTCTCTTGTCTTGCTGGTGGTTGTGGTAGTGGTGTGATTGTGGTGGTGGTGGTGATTGTGGTGGTGATTGTGGTGGTGGTTGTGGTGGTGATTGTGGTGGTGGTTGTGATGATTGTGGTGGTGATTATAGTGTTGATTGTGGTGGTGGTTGTGATTGTGGTGGTGGTTGCGATTGTGATGGTGATTTTGGTGGTGGTTGTGGTGGTGGTTGTGGTGGTGATTGTGGTGGTGGTTGTGATAATTGTGGTGGTTGTGGTGGTGGTGATTGTGGTGGTTGTGATGATTGTGGTGGTTGTGGTGGTGGTGATTGTGGTGGTTGTGGTGATGGTGATTGTGGTGGTTGTGGTGGTGATTGTCGTGGTGGTTGTGATGATTGTGGTGGTTGTGGTGGTGGTTGTGGTGGTGGTTGTGGTGGTGGTGATTGTGGTGGTTGTGATTGTGGTGGTGGTGATTGTGGTGGTGGTGATTGTGGTGGTTGTGATGGTCATTGTGATGGTTGTGGTGGTGGTTGTGGTGGTGGTGATTGTGGTGGTGGTTGTGATGATTGTGGTGATGATTGTGGTAGTGGTTGTGATGATTGTGGTGATGATTGTGGTGGGTTTGATTATGGTGTTGATTGTGGTGGTTGTGATTGTGGTGGTTGCGATTGTGATGGTGGTTGTGATGATTGTGGTGGTGATTATGGTGTTGATTGTGATGGTTGTGATTGTGGTGGTGGTTGCGATGGTGATTTTGGTGGTGGTTGTGGTGGTGGTTGTGGTGGTGGTTGTGATGATTGTGATGTTGTGATGGTGGTTGTGATGATTGTGGTGATTGTGGTGGTGATTGTGGTGGTGATTGTGGTGGTGGTGGTTGTGGTGGTGATGATGATGATTGTGGTGGTGATTATGGTGTTGATTGTGGAGGTTGTGATTGTGGTGGTGGTTGCGATTGTGATTTTGGTGGTGGTTGTGATTGTGGTGGTGGTTGTTGTTGTAGAAACAGCGGATCACCTGCACGGCCAGTGTTCCGTCCTCATCTGGCAGGATGCGGTAAGTGTGCACGTGGTTCTGGAACCTGGCCAGACGCACACACACGTGTTACTACACACACAGACGTGTTACTACACACACACACGTGTTACTACACACACACGTGTTACTACACACACGTGTTACTACACACACACACACGTGTTACTACACACACAGACGTGTTACTACACACACACACACACGTGTTACCAGACACACACACACACGTGTTACTACACACACACACGTGTTACTACACACACACACGTGTTACAAAAACAACAACAACAACCGCCATTCGCCACTAAGTGGCGGTGACGTTACCACGACGCTTGTGCCAGGCTATGTGCACCTTGAGGACACGTGAAGTGTCGAACGCCCGCTGGCAGGAGGTCACGGGGCAGACCCAGGTGCCACGGGTCGACTCACTGAGATGACTGGCTGATGCACCACCTGTGCCCCCTACTGTGCCAAACTGCTGTGCTTTAGCCACCCGGCGCTCCGCTCGTTGTTGTGAGCGTCGCTCCTCCGCCCTCCGTTGTTGTTGGAGGGCAACTGCCTCCAACTGCCCAATAGCGTCCTTCACGAGCCTCCTCCACAGAGGCGGAATTTGACACCGCTGGTACCAGTCATCGGCAAGTCCACTCAGCTCCACGTCCTCCTGTACCACATCACTCCATCTCTTCTCTAGCCCGTGCCGCGCCCGTTTAGCCCCCTCGATCCGGCCGAACAAAAGCTGTTTCGGCATGCGGTGGCTGGGCATGGGAGCTACATGACCCAGCCAACGCAGCTTTGCCTGCCGGAGGAGCTCACCGATGGGACCTTGCCCAGATCTTTCAAGGATTTGTGAGCTCCTCACACAATTCCGCCTGGTTAAACCCAGGATGGATTATAGGCAGGCCAGCCTAAATGTTTCCAACCGGCGAAGATGCTCCATTAAGGGGGTCCACGTTTCGCAAGCGTAGAGAAGGGAGGGAATGACCGTGGCCGAGAAGACCTGAAGCTTAGTGCGGAACGACAGACCAGGTAGCTTCCACACAGCGTTACGCAACCGATGAAAAAATATTGCCGCTCGACTGTTTCAGAGTGAGACCTCTGCTGTTATACTGGAGCCGGTCATAAGCACACTGCCCAGGTATGGGAAACTCTCCACTCTCTCCACAACTGCCCCATCACCGATTGGGAGTTGTGGGGGTGGAGTGTCCGATGGTACAAAATACCCAGGCAGGTGCTTAGTTTTGGTGGGGCTGATGGTGAGGCCCCATCTCTTAGTGGCATGCTCCAGTCTCAGCAGCAGCATCTCCAACTCCTCCTCTGATTGAGCAGCTATTACCAAATCATCAGCATACATAACGTGGTTGAGCAATAGGGAGCCATCCCTTGACCGCACCCGGGCATCGATCAGCCTCCCATTATATCTGCACCAAATGGAGATTCCCCCGGTACAGCTATTGAAGGCTTCACGAACTACGTGGTCAAAATAGATGTTAAATAATGTGGGAGCCAGAGGACATCCCTGTCGCACCCCAAGGTGTACAGGGAATGGCTCTGACTCCCGGCCACGTAGTTTTACCCGGGCCTGCTCACCATCATGAAGGTCCTTAATGATCGTGAGCAGAGGCTCAGGGACTCCAAAAGCACGAAGAACAACCCAGAGCCCAGGCCTACTGATGGTATCATAGGCCTTGACCAGGTCAATAAAGCAGAGATGTAGGTCTTGCTGGAATTCCCTACACCTCTGCTGTAGCAGACGGACAGAAAATATGGCATCTGTGCAGGACCGCCCTTTCCTGTTTCCGCATTGGGGCTCCGCAAGCCTCTCCTCAGCGTGCCTGACAAGGCGATGTTGAATAATCCTTGCCAGGACCTTTCCCGGCACACTGAGTGAGATGCCCCTGTAGTTGTTACAGTCTGTGCGGTCCCCCTTCTTAAAGAGGGGGACCACCAGGGCATCCTTCCAATCCTGCGGAACCCGTCCAGTGGTCCAGACTGTTGTTATGATGTCATATAGGGCAGTCTGTGCACAAACGCCACCCCCCTCAGCATTTCGCTTGGGAGATCATCTCTGCGCGCTGCCTTTCCTGGTCTCAGACTCCGGATCGCTTTCTGTACTTCCTCAACAGATGGTACTTCAGCCAGCCACTCACAGGAGGTGACTTCTTCCAATATTTGAGGCACCGCAGCCTCAGCAGGGTCATCCTCACTTTGTGCCATGATGTTTTCCTGGCTGAGGGATTTTCCCTCCCCCAGGACCTCACAGAAATGCTCAGCAAATCTGCAAACCTGTTCCTGGGGGTCGGAGATTGGATCACCGTTTTTTCCCCTAATGATGGTAATAGGTGTGGCGCTACAGGTTACTTTTTTGATAGAGTTAAATAGAGATTTGTGATCGCGGGCCACTGAGGCAGACTCCATCTCTTCAGCAACCCGCGACCACCACCCATCCTTGCAGCGCCTCACGGCTCTCCGAACACACAGACACACACACAGACACACACACAGACACACACACAGACAAACACACACCCACACACACTTACACACACTTACACACACACAGACACACATACACAGCCACACACAGACACACACAGACACACACACAGACAGACACACACAGACACACAACACAGACACACACACACAGACACAGACACACACACACACAGACACCCACACACACAGACACCCACATACACAGACACACACACACACAACACACACACACAACACACACACACACAGACACCCACACACACAGACACCCACACACAGACACCCACCCACACACACAGACACCCACACACACACACACAAAACACACACACAACACACACACACACAGACACCCACACAGACAGACACACACAACACACACACAGACACCCACACACACACAGACACCCACACACACAGACTCACACAGACACCCACACACACACAGACACACACACAGACACCCACACACACAGACACAGACACCCACACACAGACACCCACCCACACAGACACCCACACACACAGACACCCACACCCACACACACACAAAACACACACACAACACACACAGACAGACACACAGACACACACACACACAGACAGACAGACAAACAGACACCCACACACACAGATACCCACACACACAGACACACACACACACACAGACACCCACACACACAGACACCCACACACACAGATACCCACACACACAGACACCCACACACACACAGACACCCACACACACACAGACACCCACACACGCTCAGGGACTCACTGAGGCCCCCCGCTCAGGCCAAAAGGAATCCCCCCAAGTTCCACCGAAACCCCTCCCCCCCCTAGACCCCCCCCCTAGCCCCCCCCAGCCCCCCCCCAGCCCCCCGTGAGTGACGCACGGCGATCGGCTCACGGCAGCAGCTTGCAGACAGCGCCTGCTGCTTCCTGTTCCCAGGCACCGCGCGTCCCCCTCCCTCCCACCGCCCCCATTGCCCCCTAACCCCCCTCCCCTCCCATCACCCACTCCCCCTTTCCTCCAGCAGTGGATCGAGCACGGTCATCCATAGTAGAAGTTGTTTCTGGGTGAGGTGGCGTAAATGTATGAATGTTGTGTGGTCGTTAAACCCCCCACCACCCGGCACAGACAGCGAGCAAGGGGGTTGTCACGTGACCAGAACGTGGCCATCACTAGTACAGCACTCGTGTGTAGTAGTGTAGTGTGTAGTGTAGTGTGTAGTGTAGTGTGTGGTGTAGTGTGTAGTGTAGTGTGTAGTAGTGTAGTGTGTAGTGTAGTGTGTAGTAGTGTAGTGTAAAGTGTAGTGTGTAGTAGTGTAGTGTGTAGTGTATAGTGTAGTGTGTAGTAGTGTATAGTGTAGTGTATAGTGTAGTGTATAGTAGTGAAGTGTATAGTAGTGAAGTGTATAGTAGTGTAGTGTATAGTAGTGTAATGTTGTATAGTAGTGTATATAGTAGTGTAGTGTATAGTAGTGTAGTGTATAGTAGTATAGTGTATAGTGTAGTGTATAGTGTAGTATACTAGTACAGCACACTGGTGTCTTGGAGAGCCAAGCCACAACATTTACAATCTGAGTACGACGTTTCGCCAGTAATTACAACCAGCTTCATCAGGCGACAGCCAGATTTGATCTGTACTCGTGACGAATTGGCCACGTTCTGTTTCTGTGACAACCCTGGCTAGTTGGGTGTGTCGGGTGGCGGCGGGTTTTCACGACACATTTATATATTTACGCCACCTAACCCCCCCCAAAAAAACCTCTATTACGGATGATATTGGTCGCAAAAGCCTTCTACGTGTTAAACTAAACAGACCACAGTCAATGGCAAGGTGGAGAGGCCTTGATCCAGCAGTGGATCGACCACGGCTCGCTTAGGGCCCAATTGAGACGAGCTTCCGGTGTACTTGAGGAATGAAAAATATTCCAACAATGTTACAATGAGGCAGACGGTGGGGAGGGGGCAGAGGTCATGGCCACCGTGGAGTGAGTTGGTGGTGGTGGTGGTCGCAGCCCGCTCACCCAGTGACTCACTCACGCAGACAAGCCGCAGGCTCACGCAGACTCAAGCAGAGCCCCCGTAGCCTCACACGGCGGAGACCCGTAGACTCACACAGAGACCCGTAGAGTCACACAGAGACCCACAGATTTACGCAGAGACCCATAGAGTCACACAGAGACCTGTAGACTCACACAGAGACCCGTAGCCTCACACAGCGGAGACCCGTAGACTCACACAGAGACCTGTAGACTCACACAGAGACCCGTAGACTCACACAGAGACCTGTAGACTCACACAGAGACCCGTAGACTCACACAGAGACCCGTAGACTCACACAGAGACCCGTAGACTCACACAGAGACCCGTAGACTCACACAGCGACCTGTAGACTCACACAGAGACCCATAGACTCACACAGAGACCCGTAGACTAACACGGCAGAGGCCCACAGACTCACACAGAGACCCGTAGACTCACGCAGAGACCCGTAGACTCACACAGAGACCCGTAGACTCACGCAGAGACCCACAGATT